AACCAACGAGAACAAAGAAATAACATACCAGAATCTCTGGGACACATTTAAAGCAGTCTCTAGAGGAAAATATATAGCAATAAGTGCCCATATGAGAAGACAGGAGAGATCCAAAATTGACACCCTATCATCAAAATTGAAAGAGCTAGAGGAGAAGATTAAAAAAACTCAAAACCTAGCAGAAGACAAGAAATAACTAAGAACAGAGCAGAACTGAAGGAGATAAGAGACATGAAAAACCCTTCAAAAAATCAATAAATCCAGGAGCTGGTTTTTTGAAAAGATCAACAAAATAGACCACTAGCCAGATTAATAAAAGAAAAGAGAATAACCAAATAGCTGCAATAAAAAACGATAAAGGGGAAATCATCACAGATCACACAGAAATTCAAACCATCATCAGAGAATATTACAAACAACTCTATGGACATAAACTAGTAAACCTGGAAGAAATAGATAAATTCCTGGACACTTGCCTCCTCCCAAGCCTAAACCAGGAAGAAGTCGAAACCATGAATAGAGCAATAACAAGACCTGAAGTTGAGGCAGCAATTAAGAGCCTACCACACAAAAAAAGCCCAGGTCCAGATGGGTTCACAGTCGAATTCTACCAGACACACAGAGAGGAACTGGGACCATTCTGTCTGAAACTATTCCAAACAATCCAAAAAGAGGGAATCCTTCCCAAATCATTTTATGAGACCAACATCATCCTGATACCAAAACCCGGCAGAGACTCAACAAGAAAAGAAAACTTCAGGCCAATATCCATGATGAACGTAGACGCAAAAATCTTCAATAAAATACTGGCAAGCCGATTGCAACAACACATCAAAAAGCATATCCACCATGATCAAGTAGGATTCATCCCGGGGATGCAAGGCTGGTTCAACATACGCAAGTCTATAAACGTAATTCACCAATAAACAGAACCAAAAACAAAAACCACATGATTATCTCAATTGATGCAGAGAAGGCCTTTGACAAAATTCAACAGCCCTTTATGCTGAAAACCCTCAATAAACTCGGTATTGATGGAACGTATCTCAAAATAATAAAAGCTATTTACAACAAACCAACAGCCAATATGATACTGAATGGGCAAAAATTGGAAGCATTCCCTTTAAAATCTGGCACTAGACAAGGATGACCTCTCTCACCACTCCTATTCAATATAGTACTGGAAGTTCTAGCCAGAGCAATCAGGCAAGAGAAAGAAATAAAGGGTATTCAAATAGGAAAGGAGGAAGCCAAATTGTCTCTATTTGCAGACGACATGATAGTATATCTAGAAGACCCCATCGTCTCAACCCAAAATCTCCTGAAACTGATAAGCAACTTCAGCAAAGTCTCAGGATACAAAATCAATGTGCAAAAATCACAAGCATTCCTATATACCAATAACAGACTTAAACAGAGCCAAATCAAGAACGAACTGCCATTCACAATTGCTACAAAGAGAATAAAATACCTAGGAATACAACTAACAAGGAACGTAAGGGACCTCTTCAAGGAGAACTACAAACCACTGCTCAGCGAAATAAGACAGGACACAAACAGATAGAGAAACACTCCTTGTTCATGGTTAGGAAGAATCAATATCGTGAAAATGGCCATATTGCCCAAAGTAATTTACAGATTCAACGCTATCCCCATCAAGCTACCATTGACTTTCTTCACAGAACTGGAAAAAACCACCTTGAACTTCATATGGAACCAAAAGAGAGCCCGCATAGCCAAGTCAATTCTAAGTAAAAAGAACACAGCAGGAGGCATCACACTACTGGACTTCAAACCATACTACAAGGCTAGTCATCAAAACAGTATGATACTGGTAGCAAAACAGAGATATAAACCAATGGAACAGAACAGAGGCATCGGAGGCATCACAACATATCTACAACCATACAGTCTTTGATAAACCTGACAAAAACAAGCAATGGGGAAAGGATTCCCTGTTTAATAAATGGTGTTGAGAAAACTGGCTAGCCATGTGCAGAAAGCAGAAACTGGACCCTTTCCTGACACCTTACACTAAAATTAACTCCAGATGGATTAAAGACTTAAACATAAGACGTGGCACCATAAAAACCCTAGAAGAAAATCTAGGCAAAAGCATTCAGGACATAGGAGTAGGCAAGGACTTCATGACCAAAACACCAAAAGCATTGGCAACAAAAGCCAAAATAGACAAATGGGACCTAATCAAACTCCAGAGCTTCTGCACGGCAAAAGAAACAGTCACTAGAGTGAACCAGCAACCAACAGAATGGGAAAAAATTTTTGCAGTTTGCCCATCTGACAAAGGGCTGATATCCAGAATTTACAAAGAACTCAAACAGATTTACAAGAAAAAAACAAACAAGACCATTCAAAAATGGGCAAAGGATATGAACACTACAAAAGAAGACATACATGAGGCTAACAAACATGAAAAAATGCTGATCATCACTGATCATCAGAGAAATGCAAATCAAAACTACATTGAGTTACCATCTCACGCCAGTTGGAATGGCGATCATTAAAAAACCTGGAGACAACAGATGCTGGAGAGTATGTGGAGAAATAGGAAGAGTTTTACACTGCTGGTGGGAGTGTAAACTAGTTCAACCATTGTGGAAGACAGTGTGGCGATTCCTCAAGGACCTAGAAACAGAAATTCCATTTGAGCCAGCAATCCCATTACTGGGTATATATCCAAAGGACTATAAATTGTTCTAGTATAAGGACACAAGCACACGAATGTTCATTGCAGCACTGTTTACAATAGCAAAGACCTGAAACCAATCCAAATGCCCATTGATGATAGACTGGACTGGGAAAATGTGGCACATATACACCATGGAATATTATGCAGCAATCAAAAATGATGAGTTTGTGTCCTTTGTAGGGGCATGGATGAATCTGGAGAACATCATTCTCAGCAAACTGACACAAGTACAGAAAATGAAATACCGCATATTGTCACCCATAGGCGGGTGATGAACAATGAGAACACATGGACACAGGGAGGGGAGCACTACACACTGGGGTCTATTGGGGGGAATAGGGGAGGGACAGCGGGTGGGGGGAGCTGGGTAGGGATAGTATGGGGAGAAATGCCAGATGTGGGTGAAGGGGAGGAAGAGAGCAAATCACACTGCCGCGTGTGTACCTATGCAACTATCTTGCATGTTCTGCACATGTACCCCAAAACCTAAAATGCAATTAAAAAAAAAAAAAAAAAGAAGACAAGGTTGGTTCCTTTGGCAGCCAGCCCCACTGAGGCTGTCCAGGTGCCCCACCCATCAGTCATCTCATTAGCATACGAAAGACACATCACTTCATACATTCCAAAGGCTTAGTGCTCTGTCTCCGGACCCTGTGGCAGAGATGACCACGCACTAACTCTTATTATATACCAATAACCCACAGAATGGAAGAAAAAATCTGCACAGTAGATACTTCATAACTGTCTATTATCCAGAATGCATAAATAACTTTTACAACTCCACAACAAAGACAACTCAATCTAAAAACTGACAAAGGACTTTAACACACACTTCACCAACAAGCACATGAAAATATGCTTAACATCATTAGTCATAATTAAAACCATAATGAGATACCCCTTAACTCACACTAGAATAGTTATACTAAAAAAAAAAAATGTTGACAAAGATGTGCACAAACCCAAACTATTAAACACGGCTGTGACAACATGAAATGGTGCAGCCTATGGTAAAATGGTAAAATAATTCTGAGTTTCTTTAAACACTTATAAATAGATTTACCACATGTCTCACTGAGTTCATTCCTAGGTATATACACCAAAGACCTGAAAACAGGCGTTCAAACAAAAGCTTGTATGCTCTTTAAAAGTGTCACGATCATAAACATGCAGGCAAGTCTTGAGAACAGTTCTAGGAAAAGAAACGTGGATCAGAAAGAAAACACACATTATACTCCCAGGTGGGGCAGGAGGTAAAAGTGAAATGAGTTTGTGAACTGAATTTTCATGTAGGAACCATATTGCTTTCCTGATCTAGGGGTTATGTGGTGGTTACCTGGGAGAGTGTCTGTCCTTTGGGTAAAATATTCTGTATTTACACTGTAAATCCGGTACAGCAATAACAGATGGGGAATCTAAGAGAAGAAACCGGTTGTGCTTTGTACTACTACTGGAAGTTTCCTAGAAACATATTGGAAAGTAAATGACTTTTTAAAACAGCCATATCAATACCATAACAGGAAAGCAGAGGCCTCATCAAAATCCATTTGAGAGGCTCTAGTTCAGCCAAAGCTGTGAAACCCTTATAAAAGTCTCAATGTCAACAGAGTCCACTCAGCACATACTCTGTTTACTAGTATTAGAGGCTACTGCGTGGATATATTAGTGTTACAGCACAGTGTGGAAGTTAGATTGGTGTCAGGGCACGGTGTGGATATTAGATTGGTGTCAGGGCACGGTGTGGATATCACAGGTGTAGGGCACAGTGTGGATGTTAGATTGGTGTCAGGGCACGGTGTGGATGTTAGATTGGTGTCAGGGCACGGTGTGGATGTTAGATTGGTGTCAGGGCACGGTGTGGATGTTAGATTGGTGTCAGGGCACGGTGTGGATATTAGATTGGTGTTCGGCACGGTGTGGATATTAGATTGGTGTCAGGGCACAGTGTGGAAGTTAGATTGGTATCAGGGCACGGTGTGGATATTAGATTGGTGTCAGGGCACAGTGTGGAAGTTAGATTGGTATCAGGGCACGGTGTGGATATTAGATTGGTGTTGGGCACGGTGTGGATATCACAGGTGTCAGGGCACGGTGTGGTTACTACATTAGAGGCTACTGTGAGAACACATATTAGCAGCCACTGTGTCTTGGACACTGGCAATATCAGGGCGTAGTCTAAACAGTGGGATTGGAGGGTTTCATTTTTCTAGATAAATTTCCTTCTCTGCTGAGTATTCTAAAGCCTCTGTCCTCTGCACTCAAGGCTGTAAAAAGGAATCTTTTTACTCACCAGTGAACGACACCAAGATGACATGACCCTTGTGCTGCCGGGAGGAAGATAAAGCTCCTTGCTGCTTCTGGCACCTCAAAGGGAAGTTGGTCAGGGTGTTTCGCACGCCCTCTGGTGGCACCAGGGCTCAGCACAGACGCTCTTGCTCACAGTTTCTTGGTGGACGCGCGCCCCCTCCTGGTTGTCCTGAAATACCTACAAAATTCAATATTCCCTTTATTCAGCGTCATACTTTTGGAAATTCAAACCAAAATGAAGCCCAGTATATCCATATTCTTCCCAAAAATAAGGATGGAAGAATTATTTGGAAGCCATATAGAATGAAATGAATGTACACACAAATTAAAACACAAAAACTTACTCAAAATAGTCTGGAGACTGTAATTGGAAATGCAAAACTATAAAAATCTAAAAGAAAATCTATGTGACATTGGGTTTAATGTTGACTTTTAACACACAACATCAAGTGCCAATTCATGAAAATATTCATAACATGGACTTTATAAAACTCCATGTTCTACTGTGAAAAATCCTATTCAGAGAACAAAAAGACAAGACAGTGAGAAGACATTTACAAAATACTTAATGTGATTTTTAAAATTGTATTGAAAATACACGAATAACTCTTCAAAGGAACACTAATGAAAAACTAAAAACCCAATTAAAACTGGATAAATATCTGAGCAGACACCTATCCAAAGAAAATATACAGAGAGCATGGTGGCTCATGCCTGGAATGATGGGTATGGTGGCCCATGCCTGTAATCCCAGAACTTTGAGAGGCTGAGGCAGGTGGATCACCTAAGGTCAGGAGTTTGAGATCGGCCTGGCCAACATGGTGAAACGCCCTCTCTACTAAAAATACAAAACATTAGCCAGGTGTGGTGGTGGCCACCTGCAATCCCAGCTACTTGGGAAGCTGAGGCAAAGGAATTGCTTGAACATCGGAGGCAGAGGTTGCAGTGAGTTGAGATCGCACCACTGCACTACAGCCTGAATGACAGAGTGAGATGCTGTCTCAAAAGAAAAAAAGCCCAAAAATATAGAGATAACAAATCATCACACAAAAGGATGTTCAACATCACGTCTCATTAGGAGACTGCAAATTCAAATGATGCTGAGATATCACTGCACATCTAATAGAACTGCAGGATTCTTACAAGAGCTCAGCAATAACAACTGGAGGTTGAAGAACAACAGGTACTATCATTCTTTACTGGTACAGCCACTTTGGGAGACAGTTTGGCAGTTTTTCCCAAAGATAAGTCTTACCTACAATCCAACAAATGTACCCCTAAATTGTATTATATTAGACAGCTGCTTTGAAAAATGATTTTCAAACAAAAACTAGCATAATCAACTTGAAGTACAACCAAGCAATGGAATACCCATCCAGCAACAGAAAGGAATGAACTTTCAACCCATGAAAATAAAGGAATGAATCTTGCATGTATGTTGCTAAGTGAAGGGTGGAAGTATCAAAATGCTATACATTATATGACTCCATTCATATGACATTCCAGAAAAGGCACAACTAGAGAGATGATAATCAGATGAGTGACTCTCTGGGGTGGGGATTTGAAGTATTCTGTATGATACTTTAGTGGTGAATACCTGACACTATGGGATTTGATAAAACCCATAGAATTTTAAAGCACAAAGAACAAGTTACAATCTACAAAAATTAAATTATTTAGGTTGTGGAAGTATCTAAGGACAAAATACACAGTGCAAGAATCTAATTGTATTACCAATGTATGTTGCAAATGCTGGGCCAAAGGCACCGACATAAGTCATTTTGGAAATAAGTAGAATCTACAGACTAAAAGTAAAACTATACAAAAACTGTAGACTATTTTATAAAGTTATTTCCCATAGGGGTAATAGTTAATTTTGAAACCACTATTATCTGTAAAAAGAAAAATAACCCTGACTTTCCTCTACACTCTTGACTCTTCACTTCTGACAGCAAATTGGGTGGGTGGGTATTTACCACAGCAACCAATTTTCCAACTCTTTGGACAACATTTGGGTGTCATTAATTACCTGGAGCTCATACAGACCCTACAAGTTAAGGGCTTAGTAAGACCAGACTGTCCCCAACCTCAAATGCCAATCAAAAGGAGTGAATCCCCAGTTTACCCAAACTTCTATATGACATGGCTAGAAACTAGGCACTCCAACACCCTCTCCTCAGGTTTGATAATTTGCTATAATGGCTTATGGAACTCAGGAAAACGTTTACTTATGTTTACTAGTTACTACGGTCTCAATGTGTGTATATCCTCCAAATTCCTATGTTGAAACGTAATCCCCAAAGGGATGGTATTCAGAGGTAATTGAGGGGTGACTGGATCATGAGGGTGCTGCCCTCATGAATGAAACCAGAACCCTTATAAAAGAATCTAGAAGACTTTTTCCCCATTCTGCCATGTCAGGAAATGGCTAGAAGGCACAATCTAGGAGGGATGAGCCCTCACTAGACATCAAATTTGTCAGACTTGATCTGGGACTTTCCAGAGTCCATATTGTAGGAATTTTTATGGAAGCTTCATCATGTAGACATGATCGATTATTAACTCAATCTGCAGTCCCTTCACACCCCCAAAAGGACTGCACATGAAGCTAACAGTTACAAGCTTCCTACCATGGCTTGGTCTTTCTGGACCATGCCTCATCCTGAAACCATCCAGGAACCCACAGAGGGCCCTTACAGAAGACATTCCTACCACTCAGGAGATTCCAAGGAATTTAGGAACTCTACATCAGGGACCAGGGCCAAAGACCAAATATTAGAACACAGGATGTTGCTAGCACCCCTATTGTTCAGGAAATTATAAAAGTTTTAGGAGCCCTGTACAAGGAACTGGAGACAGAGACCAAACATATTTCTCACTAAATCCCAACCTGGAATCTAGATCAAAAATGAATTCCTTGTTCCCAATGGAACAAGGGATGAAATAAAGTGCAGATAGTGGGAGCCAGTTTCCTCACTGTGAGAGTGAGAAGCTACAGATAAGAAATGGGGGGAGCCTAGAATGAGCTCTGTGATAATGGATCAGAATATATATAATGTAAGCATAAACTCACATTTAGCTTAATATATACACAGATGGTTCCACGCAGAAACCTTTATAATTAAGCGGGTACATATAAGTTAGAATACACACACGTGTTTCTTTGCACTGTCAGCTGTGAGGGTCATGATGCAATGACCACATTTAGTGGCCAGATGTAAGTTTTTAATACCATCATCTAACAGGGCTCCTTGAAAAAAAAAAAAGACTAAAACTAGGACAGGGACAGAAAATACATGAGCCAGGATACTTCTGAAGTAACAGAAATAAATTGTAAATAATAAGTAAATACATGAAATTATGTCAAAAGGAGCCAGTGCAAAGAAAGAGCTCCCAATGGCCACAGAGTATGAACAGAGAGCAACAAAATACTGTAGAATTGGATAATAACCAAAAGATGAAAGTAACTATCTGATTGTGTATCTATTGTGTGGCATAAATTAATGATTAAACAGATACACAAATGGGCTGAATAGAAATCTCTTATACAGAAGAATTCCAAATACCTGATATAGACAGTCAGCCACCAAGGAGGTGGGGCTAACTCCCCACTCCTTAATAGTGGGCTCCACATGGTGACTTCCACCAAAACCATACGTACGATATAGACATGGGGAAAAAGTAACTTCACAGTGAGAAACCGGAAACCACCACCTCAGCCAGGTGATCAAAGTTAACACTAATGGTGATAACACATCTTGAGAGCATGAAGTGACTAGAATAGTACCTGCAAACCAAAAATAAAATTCAAAGGCCCCTCCCCCAACCATCTGTATAGACTCCCTCCTCTCCATCAGGGGACATCAAAGTTAACCTGGAAGTTCAGGCCATGATGAAAAAGAGGTGGTCAGACATGCCTCATTATGCCCTCCTACCTTTTGGAATTCAGGAAAAGCCAATCAGCATTTAGTTTCTTAACAGACCTTAAATCTGAGAAGAAACATTTACAATCTCTTCTCTCTGAAGCCTGCTACCTGGAAGCTTCATCTGCATGATAAAACTTTGGTCTCCATAATCCCTATCATAACCCAGACATTACTTTCTATTGATAATAACCCTTTCAACCAACTGCCAATAAGAAAATGTTTAAATCTACCTATAACCTGGAAGCTCCACCCCAGCCTAACCCACTGGGTGGGCTCAGAATACATCTCTTCAAATATTTTATAGACTTTGACTTTTTGTGAACACACTACATATCTAATCTGCTTCCCCTAAACCCATAACCCCAGTCTAATTATGAGAAAAACACCAAGTAAACCACAATGGAGGACATTCTACACAATACCTGGCCAATCCTCCTCACAGTGTTCCAAGTCCTCAGAGGAAAGTATGAGAGACTGTGACGGCCAAGAAGAACCTGACATGATGACTAAATGTCTTGTGGGATCCTGGACAGAAAAAGGCAGAACTAAGGGAAACCAAATAAAATGTGAGCTTATTTAATAATATAGTAATATCCGGTCATCAACTGTGACAAATGATGTAAGATGTTGGCCAGGCATGGTGGGTCCTGCCTGTAATCCCAGCATTCTGGGAGGCAGAGGTGGGAGAATCACCTAAGGTCAGGGGTTCCAGACCAACCTGGCCAATATGGTGAAACCCCATCTCTACCAAAAATACAAAAATTAGCCAGGCGTGATGGCAGGTGCCAGTAATCCCAGCTACTCAGGAGGCTGAGGCAGGATAGCTGCTTGAACCCGAGAGGCAGAGGTTGCAGTGAACTGAGATCACACCACTGCACTCCAGCCTGGGTAAGAGAGACTCCATCTCAAAAAAAAAAAAAAAAAAGATGTTAATAACATATCTGATACATGCTGATATGTTAATAAGAGGGGAAACTCAGTTGGGTCGACATGGGAAATCTGCATTTTCTTTCCAATTTCTGTGTGAATCTAAGATTAATTTAAAATAAAACCTTTATTTAAAAATTGTATTTTTTTTCAAATATCTACTTAATTCTTTGTACTAATAAGACACTACTCCTACTTTTTTTGCGGACGCGGGGGCAGAATCTCGGTCTGTCAATAGGCTGGAGGGCAGTGGCACCATCTCGGCTCACTGCAACCTCTACCCTCTGCCTCAGCCTCCCAAGCAGCTGGGACCATAGGCACACACCACCACACCTGGCTAATTTTTTTGTATTTTAGTAGAGTTGGGGTTTCACCATGTTGGCCAGGATGGTCTCAATCTCCTGACCTCCTGATCCACCTGCCTCAGCCCCCCAAAGTGCTGGGATTACAGGCGTGAGCCACCGCGCCTGGCCACTATGACTACTCTTTAAAGTAAGAGCATTCACTACGCTGCAAAATAAATTACGCAAACTAATATATAACTTCAAGGAAATGCGTCTTTTACATGTTTTATGTTAACACATACATGTAAACATATTCATCGTATCTTCTTTGCTTGTGCTATGATTCACTCTCTAGGAAAGCTGGTCACCTGAGAACCAGGAAAAAAATTCACATTTTGGAGACTATTTCGATTTACTGCTGAATGTTTTCAAAAGTATGACTTTGTTGGGGAAAAAAAAAAAGTTCAAATAGCAAATCGTAACTCGATCACTTATTCTAATAAATTCTTGTCTTTATTTTGTTTCCCAGCATTCCTTTTAGCTACAACAGAACAGAAGCAAGTATTTGCCACTGGAAAAAACATTCGAAGACAGGAAGAATATAAACAGAATTTGTGACCACAATCATTCAATGTTTCATCACAATGTTTTCTAATACAGAAAGGTTAAAGGGATAGTCACAGTTATTCCCCTGAAGATGCTTTCTGATGAAATTAGAGAAACAAAAGTGGCAGGACATTCAATATGACTTTAGATGTCACTGTGTCTTATGGGAAAAAATAATTTACCTTTTAGAAGATCAAAAAGAATTCCTGGAAGCCCAGACTCAAGAATGTTTCTAAATTTAGATGTCAATATAGCTAGTAATGAATATGATAAAAAGGGACCTGAGCTTTGTATAATAAAATACCAAAGCAGTATTTAAGGTTCCCAGGGAAACAGTTATGCCTGAAATACAGTTGACAACATCAAAATCAAAATATGCTTCCTGGCCAGGCATGGTGGCTCACACCTGTAATCCCGGCACTTTGGGAGGCCAAGGCAGGCAGATCACCTGAGGTCAGGAGTTTGAGACCAGCCTGATAAACATGGAGGAACCCCATCTCTACCAAAAATACAAAATTTAGCCAGGTGTGGTGTGCATGCCTGTAATCCCAGCTACTCGGGAGGCTGAAGCAAGAGAATCGCTTGAACCCAGGAGGCAGAAGTTGTGGTGGGCCGAGATCGTGCCATTCCTCTGCCCTATTGTATATGTAAAAAGCAAATTCACTGAGCTCATTTTGAGCATTTCACAGACTAAATTGTGTACTCAGTGGAAGGCTGATCAAGGGTTCAAAAGAATGCAACCCTTTGTCTCCTATCTACTTCTGACATGGAAGCAGCCCCACTTCCCGATTCTAGTTGTTCCGCCTTATTGGACCAAATTACTATACATCTTAAACATATTGATTGGTTTCTCCTGTCTCCCTAAAATGTATAAAAGCAAGCTCTACCCTGACCACCCCACCTTGGGCACATGTTGTCAGGACCTCCTGAGGCTGTATCATGGGCATGTCCTTAACCTTGGCAAAATAAGCTTTCTAAATTGACTGAGACCTGACTCATATTTTGGGATCACAATCCACAGTCACCATGGTGTGACAGTTGACTACAGCATTCAGTACAGAGACGTGCCATACACGTTTGTAGCATGGGAGCAACAGGCTATACCATATAACTTATGTGTGGAGTGGGCTACACCGGCTAGGTTTTATAAGGACACTCTACGGTGTTCGCACAAGGATGAAATCACTACGGACAAATTTCTCAGAAAGTATCCACGTCGTTAGGAGATACTTGAGTGTATTTTAAATGGTTAAAGCCTAGAAGGAAAAACAGAAACTCAACTCCTGTTGTGGTTTAGTAACAAAGCCTAATGGAGTTAACATACTTCATCTCATCTAAGATGCCAATGATTAACAGACATTATTTTATGCACCATCACATATAGGGTGCCACTTACACCGACTTTCTGAATAACAAAAATGTGAACTTACTTCTATTCATGCCCGGAAGGTAAAATTAAAGTGAATTAGGGTTTTGCTGTGTTAAAGCAAAAAAGGAGGCCGTTAGCCTGAGGTCTCCCCTAAGCAAACAGAAACCGACCTTGGAGGCATTTAACTGACTTTAAAAAAGTAACACACCAACCCTGGTCAGTGACAAAAAGCCCAGCCGCTAGTGGCTGTATGACTCGGGCCCCGAGGGAACCGTCCCAGCAAGCGGTCGCCGAGCTGGAGCCCGGGAGAAACCTCCCTCCGCCGCCACCGCTAAGAGCTCGCAGCCCCGAACCCTGTTTTCCATTCTGCTGCTTCAGGCGCGATTCACGAACCGTTCCTTTGCTCTAATAAACTTTAAATTTACTTTGCCTAAAATTCGTCTAACCCCTAGGCCTAAACCCTGACCCTAACCCTACATGACTTTCTCCGTTTGCACCGGCATTTCGGGGCTGACTAGTAAGCGCTGGACCGCGGGCAGCGCGGGTCTGACAGTCACACTGGACTGAGCCGGGCAGCAGCATCACAGGTGTTTCATCACGAGCACTGCGGGTGCTGTGTTCCGAGTTCGAATGTCATCTGCCTCGGGAACGCTGTTTATGCTCCGAGGCTGCGGTGCGGACCTCACACTGCGGCCGCCCGGCCTTGGGTCGGGAGAACCTCGGCGCGCAGGATTCAGAGGGGCTTTTGCTGTCCGGGTTTCCACCCCGAGACCTTCTCACCAGTCTCCGACCCTCAGCAGTCGGGCTGCAAACAGGCAGGATTTCACTCACCGTGGACGCGGCCCGGAGTTGTCCCAAAGCGAGGCGGTGCCCCGAAGGTCTGCGCTGAGAACGCCGCTCTGTCTTCTCGGTGCCCGCGCTGGGTCTGTGCTGGTGACTGCAGCTCCGACCTCACAGTGCACCCCCACGTCTGTACTGAGGAGAACGCAACTCCGCACACTGCCAGGCACGCCAGCGCCGTGACGCCGACGCCGGCGCCGTGACGTGCGCCGTGACGCCGGCGATGTGACGCGATGCACGCCGGAGGCGGAGCCTCAGGAATCTGAAAAGGCGGGCTCGGGCACCACCTGCTGGCGGCCAGTCACTGCAGGGGCCCTCTTGCTCACAGCGCTGTGCCCGCGCCCCCTGCTGGCGGCTAGGACCACTGCAGGGCCCTCTTACAGCGCGGTGATCAGCATCCCCTGCTGGGACGGGGGAACTGCACGGCCCTCTTGCTCACAGTGTAGTGATAGCACATCTCCCTCCGGTAGTCAGGACAAGGCAGCGTCCTCTTGCTCACGGTGTGGTGCCTGGGCTGCCAGGTCTTCTTGCTCGCAGTATAGTGGCAGCACGCCCCCTGCTGGCCGCTGGAGGCACTGCAAGGTCCTCTTGCGGACAGTGCCATGGCGGCAAGCCTCATGCTGGCAACCAGAGCACTGCAGGGTCCTTTTGCTCACGGTATCGTCCCTGTGTGCCCCCTGCTGGCAGCCAGGGATGCTTCACGGCCCTCTTGCTAACAGTGTGGTTAATAAAATTAACAGATTCTCATTTTATTTAAAATGGTCAAGGCCCAGAAAACAGAGAGGACTAATTTTAATTAATTTCATGACCTTGAAGTTTGATATAGTTCATATATTTAATCAAATGTAAAATTTCAATGTTTATCAAACATTATTGCCAGGCATGGTGGCTCATGCCTGTAATTCCAGCACTTTGGGAGGATGAGGCGGGCAGATGAATACTTCAGAAGTTCGAGACCAGCCTGACCATCATGGTGAAACTCCATCTCTACAAAAAAATATAAAAATTAGCTGGATTCCAACTGAAATCGAGCCCACCATCCCATGCCTTGATCAGAACAGATGGAGATAAGAGGAACAAAGAAGATGGGCAACAGACAAAACTCAGCTGATTTTTTTTGTATCAACAATAGTGTGTAGGAACAACTGGAACTTAAAATATTAAAATACCATTTACAAGAGCACTCCCAAAAACGAATCCATTAAGTGTAAATCTCACAAAACTTATAAAAACCATTTGGAAAACCACGAATCACAGTTGAGATGAATAAAAATAAACATATATAAGGCTGGGAGTGATGGTTCACACCTGAAATCCCAGAACTTTGGGAGGCCAAGGTGGGTGGATCACCTGAGGTCGGGAATTTGAGATCAGCCTGACCAACATGGAGAAACCCAGTCTTTACTAAAAGTAAAGAAATTACCCAGGTGTGATGGCACATACATGTAGTCCCAGCTACTCGGGAGGCTGAGGCAGGAGAATCGCTTGAAACTCCACCTGAGGTAGAGGTTGCAGTGAGCCAAGATCAAGCCATTGCAATACAGAGTAGGCAACAAGAGCTGACTCCATCTCAAAAAGATGTTTTAAAATATGTATGTATATGTAAATGCAGAGATATTCCTTGTTTCCGAGAAATACACCCATTATTCTGAAGGTGACAATTATTTCAAACTTGATCTATAGATTCAGCCAAATCACAATCAGACAACTGCCTAAACCCAGAATGGATGACATAAGGCTGAAAAAGGACAAGTTTAAAATGTTACACAACCAGATCTAAACAAGTAAAGCCACAGTAACAAAGAAAATGAGACTGGTGAAGGAGCAGATACATAGATAAGTGGAACAGAATAGAGAACCCCATCATTCATCTGACCTCAAGTCAACTGATTTTTTTCCAACGGGGCAAAGGGAGGCCAAGGTGGGTGGATCACCTGAGGTCAGGAGTTCGAGACCAGTCTGGCCAACTTGGCGAAACCTCGTCTCTACCAAAAATACAAAATTAGTGGGGCGTGGTGGCGCGCACCTGTAATCACAGCTACTCAGGAGGCTGAGGCAGGAGAACCACTTGAACCAGGGAGGCAGAGGTTGCGGTGAACTGAGATCATGTACTGCACTTCAGCCTGGGCAACAGAGTGGGACTCTGTCTCAATTTAAAAAAATGAAACAAAATCAAAATACAACAACAATGTCAACAACAAAAACCCCCTGCTTTCTCCGCCACAACTCTCCACTATGGGGAGTCGCTAACCAAACTATTCAAACATCACAAAGAATCTCGCAATACTTCTCAACAGAACCCTGAGGGAATTCTGGATACTTCTACTTTTATTAGTGATAAAGCTCTGTAACTTGCTGTGTTAAACACCCATACCATCCACACCTGCTTTTCCTGGGGTGCTGGCCCAGCTCACAAGGGATGCCTAAGCCTAGGCTGCCTTCTGAAAACTCAAGGAACACCCTGGCTTCCCAGAACGCAACACAGGAGACCTGTCCATTCGGACACTGCACCTGGAAGGAACACAGTGTTACAAATAGAGGCTCCCTCTGCCAGGCTCAAGGCCTGCTCTCCCATCTGGGGACCTCCTGATCCTGTAAAGACCCTCCCCCTCTGGACTCAGGAGAGAGTATTGCTCCGCAGTACCCCCCACCCACCCAGCTCCAGGTTGAGTAACATCCAGCAATAAGACATTCCTGCTCCTTGTTTATCTTTTCCCACGTCATTCACTCCAGCGGCACCAGCCGAGCCCTCCTCATCACCATGAGCGGCGGGCCCAGAAGTGGAAAGCAAAACACAGTGCTCAGAGAGGACCTCACCTGGTGAGGAGACAGGGGCTGGCTCCGCTCAACAGCAAGCAAAAAGCAAAACAGGGAATTCAGATGGAACTGGGAGATCCAGGGACCAGCCCCGAGGGGCTGGAAAAGATAATTCAAGGACAGGCTGTGTCTCAGGGGACACTTGGTGACCAGACATGCCCAATCCTCTTTCTGCCTGCCAGGACAGGCTCGAAGGGACACTGCTTGAGTAGATCCACCCAGTCCTCTTTCTGCCCATTAGGACTGGTGCTGTCTTGGGGGGCACTGAGTGACAAAACCCAACCAGTCATCTTCTCATCAGGAAAGGCTCTGTCCAGGGTGTGACACTGAGTGACAAGACCCAACCAGTTATCTTTCTACCCATCAGGAAAGGCTCTGTCTCAGGGAGACATTGGGTAAACAGAACCATCCAGTCCTCTTTCTACATCAGGTGCCATTGTAAGTGCTTGGCAGTGACCATGACCAGACTGTCTTCCAACAGGACCCTGAAGTGAATAGAGTGTTAGGAGGTGAACGTGTTACACATGGAGCAGAGTCACTCGGTGGGTCACAGAGGGCAGCTGCCAAGAGGGTCAGAGCAGGCGCATGGAGGAGGAGCTGGAGACCACTAAGGGAACGAAGTGCTGTTTGCTAAGAAGTTATCAGCCTGGGCTCTAAAGAGACAAGAAGCCATTACAACCAAATCAGAGGGAGCAGGCATGAGAGCAGAGAGGGACTAGTACATTTAGGACATGTAGGAGAGCCATAGCCTGAGAAGGCAATTATTTCCCCCCTAAGTCTATGACGCTAGAAAACAAGCATGAAAATGCCCTGACCTCAGACACAGGACAACAGGTCTGGAGGGTGAGGCTCGTGCTGTTCTCCTTCATGCCCACCAGAGCAACCACCTAACCCGATGTCCAGCTGCTGAGGGCATTCTTAGGTCAAAGAGACAGGACAAAAGTGTCCCTGAGTGGAGCGAGCAATGAGGAGAGCCCTGCTGAGTGGGCAAGATACAAAAGGGGCCGTGGAGCACTAAGCCTGTGAAGAAGGTGCACGGAGTGATTGGCAAAGGAATCCCGATGCTCAAGGCATGGCAGGGAATTGGGCAGAGGGACCGCCCTGGTCCAGCCCCCACGGGGCTGCCCACCCGCAATCCTAACCCAATCCATACACCAACCCAAACCAAACCAGAACCCAATCACAAATCCTAACTTCTGGCCCCTGAGCCCTAACCCCAGCATTAACTCTATCCCTACAACAGCTCTGCATTGTAACTTCTGACATGGATTGAGTTTTATCTGTCTATGCGCAGTTATGAGCACCTGCACTTTCCCTCCATGTGTGCAGGAAAACTCCATGGCTTCCTGGCATTTGAGGAAGGGATGGAGCAGTTTCTGCACGTCGAACATACATTAGGCTGCTGCTAGGAATTCACAAACACCACAGCTTTTAATCCTCCTCTAAGTGATATGTATTGCCCCCTTTTTAAGTGAACCAGTGGGTTTTTTTTCCCTCATTCAGCTCACAGCTTAATGCTCTTCATGCACAGCTGGAAGGAACCATCTCTCGGCTCCCTGGAGCTGCAGGACAAAATCCAAAGTGAGGAGAGGTAAAATGTACTGAGTAGGGGGCACGGACTCTCCTGATAGTGTCCCCCATGTGGGCTCACTGTCCTCTCTACTGGGAAACCCAACACATTCATGGTCACCTGTGGATTGTCCTCAGAGGCAAAACACCACCCACTCCCAGCCAGGAGTATGCTCTGTGTCTCCAATATGCAGTTTTCTTGCCTTCCCTCTGACTCTGCCCGTCCATCCACACACCCTCATGCAGGGGCTCTAGCCTCCTCAAAACACTTAGGGGCTTTCAGACATCTGCCCTGCACGAACCTGACAGTCCTGCACACCACTCTTCCCCCGCCCTCACCCCTAGCGAAGGTTTCCTCTCTTCATGGAATTCTCTGAACTGCACATCTGCACCTCACATTTGTACATCTTCTCCAATTTCTCCCACTACTCTGAGGCCTCTGACCTTGATGTGTTCATCTATCCAGAGAGGATTTGGAGACACTGCAAGGTAGTCCTCCACGCCGGTTCTCCATGCCTAGCTTCTCCAGGCCTTGTCCCTGGTACTGGCCTCACGTCAGATGACTTCTCCTTATTCAGACATGACCACTCTGCGGATTATTTACCCTTCCAAAAGCAGTTGGCCAACTCAGGAGATTCAGACTTTTTAGTTGGCCGGGCACAGTGGCTCATGCCTATAATCCCAACATTTAAAAGGTCAAGGCAGGAGGATCACTTGAGCCCAGGAGTTCAAGACCAGCCTGGGCAACATAGTGACACCTCGTCTCTACTAAAAATAAAAAACAAATAGCCTGGTGTGGTGCCACACACCAGCGGTCCCAGCTACTTGGGAGGCTGAGGTGGTAGAATTGCTCAAACCCAGGAAGTCCAGGCTGCAGTGAGTGGCAATCATGCCACCGCACTCCAGCCTGGTTGATGCAGAGAGACCCTGTCTCAAAAACAAAAGAAATAAACAACTTTTTAGTTATACGTTTCATGTTTCAGTATCATAGACGTCCTCAGGTCAAATTGATCAGTAAGAATGGTGGTCAGTCTGTCTCATATACCTTAAGGTTTCCAATTTCAACCATCCAGAAACTAGCGCCAAGTGTAGCTTCCAAGCTACAGTTTATCCACCTAATTGTGAAAATACCAGCCCCTCTAAATCATGCTCTGTGTTTACATCACCATTGTCTTAGTGAATTTGGGCTGCTATAACAAAAATCCCACAGACTGGGTGACATAAAAAACAAACTTATTTCTCACAGTTGTGAGGACTGAGAAGGCCAAGATCAAGGTGCTGGCCAATTCAGTTCCTGGTATGGGCTTGCTTACTGGTTTACAGTGTTGTATTCTCACATGGTACAGAGAGAGATCATCTCTCTTGTGCCTCCTCTTATAAGGTCACTGATCCCATTTATGAGGGTTCCAGCCTCATAACCCAAATACCATCACTTTGGGGATTAGGCTTCAACATTAACTTGGGGGGAACACAAACATTTATTCCATAGCATTCCACCTCTGCCCCCAACAAATTCATGTCCTTTTCACATGCAAAATACATTTATTCCTTCCCAGTAGCCCCCAAAATCTGACCTCATTCCATCACCAATTCTAAAGTCCAAAGTCCCATCTAAATGCAATCTAAATCAGATATGGGTGAGACTCCAGGTATGATTCATTCTGAGGCAAAATTCTTCTTCAAGTGTGAACCTGCAAAACCAAACAAACTATGTGCTGCCAAAAAACAAGAGCAGGACAGGCATAGGGCAGACATTCCCATCCCAAAAAGGAGAAACAGGGAAGAAGAAAAGGGTGGCAGTTTCCAAGCAAGTTCAAAACCTAGCAAGGCGAATTCCATCAGGTCATAAGGTTCAATAATAATCCACTTTGGCTTGATGCTCTGCCTTCAGATCCACTGGGGTCAATGCAAATATGTGAAAGGGGAAAAAATAGTCCACTGAAGACTTAGTCGTGTTACCTGTGAGATGGCTCTGAGCATGGTTGGAAATGGAAGATGACAGCACAGTTAGAAGCATAAGCGTTATGCCAGCAATGAGCATATGGTGCCAGTCCCTCATAACCAGAACACACTTCCCAGGAAACAGGAGCGATCCATCTTGCTATCACACCTTATGTCACACCTTCATGAAATCTTTGCATCATACACCAAGAAGTTTGGGCTTAGTAAGTCTGGAGACTCTGATAAGTTGCACAAAGGCAAAAAATATTCATAATCTATGATTGATTGGAGTCTTCATAAATTTGGGGAAAAATATTAAAGATAACAGCAAACAAGAGAAGATAGTTGCCTTCATCAGTCTGGGCTGCTATAACAGAACACCATAGACTGGTGGATTAAACAACAAGCATTTATTTCTCACAGTTCCGGAGACTGACAAGTCCAAGATCAAGACACTGGCTGATTCAGTGTCTGGTATGGGTCCTCTTCCAGGTTTGTAAGAAATGCTTTCTTACTGTGTCCTCACATGGAAGAAGACTTTCATCTCAGAGAACACACCAACAATCAGGAAAGAATGTTGAAAGCAATATGGACTGCAAAGGCCATTTTGAGGAGGACTCAGCTGGAAATAAGGAATATATTATTGGATAATGAAGAAACAGCAATCCTTATTATAAAATGGCAAAGAATTTGGCAAAAGTGTGTTTATGCTCTAGTGTTTTGTGAAAGGTAGAATTTGCAAGTAATGAAATTAAATATTTAGCTAAAGAAATTTATTTTTATATTATCTTTAAATTGACAGATTTTCATCTGTCAATTTTACGTTGCTGAAGAGATTTCTAAGCAAAGTGTTGAAGGAGTGGCTTTATTCCGCCTGGCTGCTTCTAGTAACATGTAAGAAAAAAGAAATGAATTGAAGATGAAATTTTTATGCAAAAAAGAACTAGAAATTACAGATGGGAAACATTCTCAGCCTATTCATATTACACACAAAAAAACTTAGATAGCATGTTTTCCAGTGTGATGGCTCTGGTGCTAAACATAAAATAACATAAAAAAGACAAAAAACAATAGACAGCATGTTTGGAAGAGGGCATTATGGTGTGACAGACTGACAATTTGATAAGATTAATGTGGGTGTGAATCATGGACCTAATTAGCCATCACACCAGAAGCTGAGAATGGAGCTTACAGACCAGAAACACTGCCAGCTAGAACTAAAGTAAACAGAGAAAATGGGATAAAATGAAGGAAGGCTGTTGGACTTCTTAGGTTTTACAGGACAGAGCCATAGAATTACTCAGCTACAGACATGCTATTCAAGACAGAGGAAGAATGACCGTGTAGGTGATTAGTACATCAGGGCTGTCTCCTTGGTTTCAAGAAAGCCTCTGCCCAGAGCCTTAGAGGAGGGGATGACTGGCACCATGGTAGCACAATTTCCCTTTGCAGGACCCTGCAGCACACCCCTAGCCTAGGAGAGTTTTGGGGACAGGACAGCCCCCAGTGGGCCAAGAACAGCCACCCAAGGGGACTAGAATATATTCTTTTGTTAATGTTTCTCATGCTTAGAATGAGTGTCTACTCTGAAAATTTTTCTGCAATATTTTATGGAGATAAAATGTATAGTTGCTTAATAGGGGAATTCAGTTCTTCTATATATTACTAAAATATGTATATTCCTTTTCTCTCATTTACCGAGAGAGGTACATTATATTTTCCAGCTGTGTTTGTAGATTAGTTAATTTATTTTATTTCTTTCAACTTCTGCTTTACATATTTTGAAGCTATAGATGTCTATTTATTTAGGAGTGTTATATTTTGCCATTGAATTCATCTCCTCCTCCTCCTCCTCCTCTTCTTCCTCCTCCTCTAGATAGGGTCTTGCTCTGTTACCCAAGCTGGAGTGCAGTGTCACGAGCACAGCTCACCACAGCCTTGACATCCTAGGCTCAAGCACATGCCACCATGCCTGGCTAATTTTTGTTTTTTAGTAGAGACCATATTGGTCATGCAGGTCTTGAACTACTAACAGGTGATCCACCTGCATCGGCTTCCCAGAGTGCTGAGATGACAGGCGTGAGCCACCGTTCCAGGCCAGCACGTCATTATTATGTGCCCTTTATTGTCAGTATACTTCTGTGAAAAGAAAATACATCTTGGAGCCCCAAAATCACTAAGCTAAAGGGAAAAAACTGGAAACTGCTCAGCGCCAATCCATTCTATTCAGTCACCCCTCTGCTCACCGAGATAAATGCATACCTGATTGCCTCCTTTGGAAAGGCTAATCAGAAACTCAGGAGAATGCAACCATTTGTCTCTTACCTACCTATGACCTGGAATCCTCCTCTCCTCTTTGAGTCTTCCTGCCTTTGCTTACAGTTGTCCCACCTTTCCAGACCAAACCAATGTTTACCTTGCATATGTTGATTGATGTCTCATGTCTCTCTAGAATATAGAAAACCAAACTGTGCTCTGGCCACCTTAGGCACATGTCATCAGGACCTCCTGAGGTGGTGTCAGGGGTGAATGCCCTTAACCTTGGCAAAATAAACTTCCTAAATTAACTGAGACCTGTCTCTGGTTTTGGGGCTCACACTTGCTTCCCTAAAGTCTTTTGTTATAGGGTCTCACTTTGTCCCCCAGGCCCAGTGGCATGATCACAGCTCACTGCAGCCCCAAACTCGCAGGCTCTGGTGATCCTCCCACCTCAGCCTCCCAAGTTGCTGAGACTACAGGTGCACACCACCACGCACAGCTAATTTTTTTTTTTTGTAGAGACTGTGTTTCAGCTTGTTCCACAGGCTGGTCCTGAACTGAACTCAAGCAATCCACCTGCCTCAGCCTGCAAAGTGTTAAGACTAAAAGTGTGAGCCACGGTGACTGGCCACTAAATCTTAACACTCCAAAAGAGTCTCCTCTGACTTCATGTCCTGCATCCACAGTATACTGGTGCAAGGGGTAGGCTCTCAAGGCCTTGGGCAGCTCTGCCTCTGTGGCTTTGCAGTGTTCAGCTCCCACAGCCATTCTCACAGACTGGCTGTTGAGTGCTTGTGGCTTTTGAGGTTTTTAAGGACAGCTACATTAATGAGGAAATCCCTGCCAAAAATTAAGCCCTTGGCCAGGCACGGTGACTCGCACCTGTCATCCCGGAACTTTGGGAGACTGAGGCAAATGGATCACTTGAGGTGAGAAGTTTGAGACCAGCCTGGTGAACACGGTGAACCCCTATCTCTACTACAAATAAAAAAAATAGTCTGGTGTGGTAGCAGGCACCTGTAATCCCAGCTACTTGGGCAGCTGAGGCAGGAGAATCATTTGAACCTGGGAGGCAGAGGTTGCCATGAGCCAAGATCACACTACTGCACTACAGCCTAGGCAACAGAGCAAGACTCCATCTCAAAACAAAATTGAATGGAATTCTCTTATTCTTATTCACACCATCTGAATAATGTAAATGAGCTGAGCCATGAATCTTAGATAACCCATAGCACAGCATCTGACAAAAGAAATGCCACATAAGGCAAAGGAAAAGAAGAGAATTCAGATGGGAATGAGTGCAGCAAGCGGTCTCAGGGCAATAGTGGCAGCACGGATTGGAGGAGCAAAGCCAGTGTGCCTGAATCCAAGAAAAGAAAGAAGGGTTTTTAGAGTGCAAATGAAACAAAAGCACAAGGAGAAAAGCCCACTGATTTCTATCCCAGCGCCTGTTGATCACGCCTGGCGGGCACAGCAGCAACAGAACGTAACTATTTCTATCTAATCCTATTGCTCATAGCTTTTAAATACCAAATGGTAATTAGCAATTTTAGATGTGAAGCCTTTAATGCTTTTTTGTTCCCAATGTTTCTTCCTAAGACCAGAATTTCCTGGAAATGACAGTGAAACGGAGACAGCAACCAAGAAATTGATTTTTCAGGGCGACTCTACAGTGCAAAGTGAAAGAAAGTTTATTCAGAAAGTAAAATGGTGAAAGAACAGCCACTCCATAGACAGAATAGGACATTCTCAAAAGTAAGAGGAGAAACGTGTTCACCTTAGGTATGATACTTATTTATATATAGAATAAAAAAAGATTATAAGGTTTGGATGAAGGATTCATTTTCTAAATTACTGTATTTTGCAAGAATAGATATTATCTTTAAAGCAAAATTAGGGATGCTACTGTTATCAAGACATGGGGATATCAGGACACTCCTAAGTCTGAATCTGTTTAGTAAATGTTATTAATCTGTTCCCTTAGCAATAAACATCTAGAGATTAGAAATGCCTAACTTTCTGGGAATACAGTCAAGCGAGTCCCAGCTTCATTTCCCTAGCCCTCACTCAGGATGAAGTTATTCTGACTCAAACGCTTCTGATAATGAGACATCGACCAATACGTGTAAGATGTATATTGGTTCAATGCAGAAAGGTAGGACAACTGGAGGAGAAAGCAGGAGAAGTGAAAGCGGAGAGGGGGTTTCCAGGCCACACGTAGATAAGAGACAAACGGTTACGTGATTTTGAGTTCATGATTAACCTCTCCAGATTAATCTGAGACAATCAGACATGCATTCATCTCAGTGAGCAGAGGGGTGACCTTGAATAGAATGAGACAGTTTTGTCCTACGCAGTTCCCAGCTTCACTTTTCCCTTTAGCTTAGTGATTTGGGAGCCCCAAGATTTATTTTCCTTTCATATTTTCCATATTTTCTTTTAAAAAATCTTTTGGAGAAAGCATTTTAGGAAAAAACAAGTCTCTGGTCTCAGGTTTTCTCTGATCTCTCATGGCTAGGATGGTTTATTCTAGACAGGTAGATCCAAAGTTACTAGAAAAGTTCATTTTTGGCAGGTTGCAGTCTCGTGTTCTATAAAGAGAAACTAGGGAGAGTACAGGAGAACAATAACAAACAGAAGAACCTTCCTGGGAAGTCAGCACAGGCCACACTGCTCTGAAGTTCATACATCAGCAGGCAGGCACGAAAGTGGCTGATGTGCGTAAACAGGTTGCTGGTATTTTCTTCTGAAGTTTAAGTTGTCTAGCTGCAGGTTGCAGGGGTTTACCAAAGCCCAGTTTAGTTTTTGTGACTCCAAATTAGGAAAAATGTGGGAAAAGGAGGGGAAAAAATTGAACACATTATTTTGATGGCTTGTAACCAAGAAAAATTAGAATGCAGTTCAAACTGTAGAAAATAATAAAAATTGAAAAACATTAGGCAAGAGTAGAATCCAACAACAGGTGCACTGTAGTTTTTAAAACATAATTTTTCTCTCTCCAGTTTCCCATTTTTACTAAAGACAAATAATGGTAGGACTGATTTGCTCTATTATACGTGGCCTGATTATTTGTATACAGCACAACAAGGATAATTATTCTTCCACATAGGCTTTCAAGATAGTTTTGATGGAATTTTGTTCCATAGAAGGAATCTCAGATAAGACTTTTTTAAAGCCAAGCCCAACCATGGATTGTACCATCAAATCCCTATGAGCTGGGTAAATTCCTCACCTCTTCAGGTTCCAAGATAAACTTGGGGCTTCTAGGCTGTCAGAAAGTGATATTCTTTTTTTTTTTTTTGAGATGGAGTTTCGCTTTTGTTACCCAGGCTGGAGTGCAATGGCACAATCTCGGCTCACCACAACCTCCGCCTCCTGGGTTCAGGCAATTCTCCTGCCTCAGCCTCCTGAGTAGCGGAAATTACAGGCGCACGCCACCATGCCCAGCTAATTTTTTGTATGTTTAGTAGAGACGGGGTTTCACCATGTTGACCAGGATGGTCTCGATCTCTTGACCTCGTGATCCACACGCCTCGGCCTCCCACAGTGCTGGGACTACAGGCTTGAGCCACCGTGCCCGGCACCATTCTTTACTTACCATGCTAGGAACCCTGTACAGGGACTGTGTAGAAAAGGTATAATGCCAGTTTTGCCAAGGGGCTTTCATTGGCTCTATACATCAAGTTTGATTCCTTCAAGGAAAGCACATTATTCCAGTCAAAGCTTGGAAAAATAACAAGTTTCTCCAACTGAGTCCTGTTATAAATGAAAACAGATGCTTGTGACACTTATGCAAATAACTGTATTGCCATTGGTCAATAATACCCGCAAATGGGTTCCAAATTCTGTGTAAATCAGATAGAAACAAATAGCTCTAGAGTTTGTACTAGCAATATATTAATTTTTTTTTGGAGACAGAGTTTCACTCTCATCCAGCAGACTGGAGTGCAGCGGAGTGATCTCAGCTCACTGCAACCTCCACCTCCCAGGCTCAAGTGATTCTCCTGCCTCAGCCTCCCAAGTAGCTGGGATTACAGGCCTCTGTCACCACGTCCAGCGACTTTTTATATTTTTTCATAGAGACAGGGTTTCATCACGTTGGCCAGGCTCGTCTTGAACTATGGACCTCAGATGATTCACCCACCTTGGCCTCCCAAAATGCTGAGATTACAGGCATGAGCCACCGTGCATGGCCAAGGATTAGACCCAATCGTTAAAAGTTGCCTGTAGCTCAAAAGAAAAGTTTCCTTGACTCTGAAAAAACAAAACAGACTGGGTATGGTGTCTCATGTCTGTAATCCCAGTACTTTGGGAGGCCAAGATGGGTAGATCACTTGAGGCAGGAGTTTGAGACCAGCCTGGCCAACATGGCAAAACCCCATCACTACTAAAAAATTTTTTTAAAAAATTGCTGGGTGTGGTGATGCATGCCTGTAATCCCAGCTACTTGGGAGGCTGAGGCACAAGAATCACTTGAACCTGGGAGACAGAAGTTGCAGTGAGCCGAGATCATGCCAACACTCCAGCCTGGGCAACAGAGCAACGCTGTCTCAAAAAAAGAAGACAAAGGAATCAGCAGTGTTTTGAGCAAAAAGTCAAAAAGATTACTTCCGTCTTCTATTAGTCCAGTCCATGTAGTTAACTCCTGCTCTTCTTGCTATTCACGAACACTTCAGTTCTCCAGGAGTCCTAAACGTTTTTCTCTTATTCTGATATTACAACCTCCAAAGTCATCAAAAACTTGTATTCAAGAGTACCTGTCAGAGTTTGACAGCTGATTTAAAAACCACCTTCTGAAGAGGGTCAAAACAAGACGACAGTTGTCTGTGGATGACAAAAGTGTTAGGGCAGCCATAGTCAAGGACACAATTGACAAGGAAATGTGTTGCCTCTGTGGCACACAATAATTTAACAGAATTATAATTATTACTGATAATTTACACTAAGTCATATCAGAATTATAGGAGTTCCCCCTAACTTTGGAACACATCCAAATAACATATTTATACAAACATAGCCCAAAGAAAACCAAACACTTTTTTATATTTGACAGTGTTTCCTGTATGATTTTTATACCAAATAAGCCAAATTATGTCATTTTTGGACTTTAGGAAAACACATGTCTTCAATAATTAATTAGGTCTGAAAAAGACAAAATTTATAATTTGATTTTGGAAAGTCCGCCAAATATAAAAGATTTTAAATATGTGATCCACAGGTCATTGTAAAATAAGTCATTTACTTGACCAAGGTGATAACTCAAGAATTTTTTTTTAACGTGCAAAATCCTTCAAAGCACTTTTTGAAACAGAAGACTTAACCTTCCAAACAATAGGTCCTAATAAAAACAGTGGTCAGCTGCAGTGGCTCACACCTCTAATGCTAGCACTTTGGGAGGCCAAGGCAGGCAGATCATGAGGTCAGCAGCTCCAGACCAGCCTAGCCAACATGGTGAAACCATGTCTCTGCTAAACATACAAAAATTAACCAGGTACGGTGGCAGGCGCCTGTAATCCCAGCTACTCAGGAGGCTGAGGCAGGAGAATCGCTTGAATCTGGGAGGTGGAGGTTGCAGTGCGCTGAGACCGCACCATTGGTGACACAGCGAGACGCCATCTCAAAAACAAGAACAAAAAACAAAAATGAGCATGAAGTCAATTAAATTTGTCTTTCAAAATTTTACAAACAATTTATAACATTTTAATCTTAATCATAAGCTATAACTTCCATAAGCCTTTTATAACCTTTATTAAGCAGTCAGTTAATGCTTCAAGAAAACTTTGTTAATCTAATATAGGGGCCCGCATGCTGGTCTTTCATCAGTGTGCCTTTGACATTGATGGTTCATTTATTAGAGAAACTGAACTTAGCCGGGCATGGCGGCTCATGCCTGTAATCCAAGCACTTTGGAGGCCAAGGCAGGCAGACCACCTGAGGTCGGGAGTTCAAGAGAAACTGAACTTATTTTATCTCTCAAAATCAGCCCGTACAATCTCACATCCCTGCCTCTACGGCAATAGTCCCTGGGCCTTGAGGAGTTAGACAGCTCTAATTTCTGATCCTCTGCCTCAGGAGTACAGTTTATTTTGACTGGCATCTTCTACCAAGCCTGAAGATGAGGCCTTGCTGTCAGTGTTTAAGGGTTAGCAGGGCTTGGTGTTCTTTTTACACTCAAGAATCAAAGCCTTGTAACTCAGTGTTACAAGTACTTGTAATGCACATACAGAAAGATACATGGGTGTAATAACCTTTTTTATTTTTTTGAGACAAAGTCTCACTCTGTCGCCCAGACTGGAGTGCACAACGGCATAATCTCGGCTCACTGCAACCTCCAGTCCCTGGGTTCAAGTGATTCTCCTTCCTCAGCCTCCTGAGTAACTAGGATTACAGGTGGCCACCACCAGGCCAGGCTAATTTTTTTTTTTTTTAGTAGAGATGGGCTTTTATCATATTGGCCAGGCTGGCCTCAAACTCCTGACCTCAGGGGATTCTCCCCTCTTGGTCTCTCAAAGTGCTGAAATTACAGGTGTGAGCCACCATGAGCAGCCTAATAACCTTAATTTACAAAAAAAATTCAGATGGAGTCTCATTCTGTCACCCAAACTGGAGTGCCATGGCAAGATTTCAGCTCACTGCAAACTCCACCTTTGTGTTCAAGCAATTCTTCTTCCTCAGCCTCCTGAGTAACTGGGATTACAGGCACCCACCACCACACCCAGCCATATTTTCAGTAGAGACAAGGTTTCACCATGTTGGCCAGGCTGGTCTCAGATGCCTGACCTCAAGTGATCCACCCTCCTTGGCCTTTCAAAGTTCTGGGATTACAGATGTGAGCCACAGCACACGGACAAAAAAAAAAAAGTTGTTATAATGAGTTTGTCTACATGTATTTATCCTATTACATTTACCTAATTATTTTATTTTAATGATTTACCCAGATTGTTTATGAAAACTTTGATAGTCGTCATTTAAAGTGACTATTTTTTTCCTAAGTTAACCAAAACAATAATAATGATGGAAGATGGCTGAACCTCTGCAGGCTGAGGCTGCAGTGAGCTGTGATCACACCACTGCACTCCAGCCTTAGTCACAGTAAGACTGCGTTCCTTAAATAAGATAGAAATTAGGATGGAAGATGGCTGAACCTCTGCAGGCTGAGGGTGCAGTGAGCTGTGATGGTACCATTGCAGTCCAGCCAAGGCGATAGAGCAAGATTCTTTCTCAAAAATATAAAGTAAAATAAACATGAACTCTTTAGCATATTTCCCAGTAATGCCTTCCTCCTATGTTTTTCCTAGAAGCTCTTGAGTTTTGCTTACTTTCCACATGCCATTTAAAACTTCAATACTGATGTCCTTGTCATTCCTTCTTTTATTTTTCAAGAATGTCTTTATGTCACTTCCAGCTGGATTTACCATGAAAGACTTCAGAGTCCAGGAAGAGACTGACTGGGCAGCATGTTACTCAGGTACAAAAAGACTTGGACAATAACTCAATAATGATCAAATAATAGTGCATGCCTCAAGAGCAGTGGGAAGCACTTCTGGGGAGTGAGGGCAGCTTCTAGATAAGGTGACGTTAAAGCCGGGGTTTGAAAGATGAGGAAAAGTTGTATGAGAGTGGGGAGGGAAGGGGGAGGTGGAGGCATGGGGAGTGGGCTGGGATGGGATGGAGCGTTCCCGGCAGGGAAAGCAGCTCTGTAAAGACCTGGACAATTAAGATGGCACATGTTCTTCAGGGAATGCTGAATTAAGTGTGGCAGGAATACTTTGGAGAGACAGTAATTTACTTGTATGGAATTTTGCCAAAGAGACCTCACTACAGTTTCTAATTTTGTGATGTCATCATCCATCACTGTGCCTGTCAAATAGTTGGGAATAGCTGTGATGGTCACAGTAACATCAAGCATAATGTTTCATGAATTCTCCAAAATCTCAGGCAGGCGCCACAGTTAGCCCCATTTGCTGAACGAAGTGATGAAGACTTGGGGATACCGAGCTTTGCCCACGCTCACATAGTATTAAGACTGAGGCGGATGTAGGGCCTGGTGTGACTCTAACGCTTGCTCTGTTCATGAGCACCACGCACTGCATCTCCTCTGCAGTTAAGGAGGCAGGTGAGAAAATGAAGCCTGCGTTTCTCTCTAGTCACACATTTCTCACTGAACGTGTGTGTGGAGGTTCTACACCAAATTCTCCAGTGCTCTGGATAGTAACTTGGTATCCACAATATTGTTCTGACACTACCTGGAGCTGGCGCAGACCCTAAGGTTAGGGGCTCAGTCCCACGAGACTGGCCTCACTTCACATGTCAGTGGCAAGTACTAGGTCGTCACCTGTACTTTTGACCAACCTGTTATAAATCAGGGTTTCCATGACCCCTTCTTGGATTTAGTCATTTGCTAGAACAGCTTACAGAACTCAGAAAATCAGCTGTTTTCTTTTTTCCGAGAGACAAGGTCTCATTTTGTTGCCCAGGCTGGTGTGCGTGTGCAGCCATAGCTCACTGCAGCCTCGACTGCCTCGGTTTAAGTGGTCCTCCCACCTCAGCCTCCCTAGTAGCTGAGACCACATGCCTGCATCACCACATCTGGCTAATTTATTTTATTTTTTGTTGAAATGGGGTCTTGTTTTGTTGCTCGGGCTGGCCACAAATTCCTGGGTCCAAGCAATTCTCCCACCTCAATCACTTAACGTGCCGGGATTACAGATGTGAGCGAGCACGTCTGGTCAGCTCATTTCCTATTCCTGGTTCACTGTAAAGGGCACATCTCAGAAACAGCCAGTGAAGGAGATGTGCATGCTGGGTGCAGTGGCTCATGACTGTGATCCCAGCACTTTGGGAGGTTGAGGTGGGAGGATCGCTTAAACTCAGGAGTTTCAGATCAGCCTAAACAACATGGTGAAACTCTGTCTCTATAAAAACTACAAATCGCACTTTGGGAGGTTGAGGTGGGAGGATCGCTTAAACTCAGGAGTTTCAGATCAGCCTGGACAACATGGTGAAACCCTGTCTCTATAAAAACTACAAATCGTGTGGTGATGCATGCCTGTAATCCCAGCTACTCAGGAGGCTGAGGCAGGAGAATCACTTGAACCCTGGATGCAGAGGTCATAGTGCAGCTAAGATCACACTACTACACTCCAGCCTGGGCTACTGAGCGACACTTCATCTCAAAAATAAAATAAATAACCAGGCATGGTGATATGCACCTGTAGTTCCAGCTACTAGGAAAACTGAGGTGAGGATGCCTTGAGCTGGGGATTCAGGAAGCTTAGGTTGTAGTGAGCTGAGATTGTGCCACTGCACTCTATCCTGGACAAAAGAGCCAGACCCTGTCTCAAAAAGCAAGAAAGAGGGAGGGAGGAAGGAGGGAGGGAGGGAGGGAAGGAGGGAGAAAGAAAGAGATGGATGCCTAGGGGAAGGTAAGTGGGGAGGGGCACAGAGCTTCCATGCCCTCTGTTGAACATGCCACCCTCCCAGCACCTCCTGTGTTCAGTAACTCAGAAGCTCTGCAAACGCTGTTGTTCAGGGTGTTTATAAAGACTATTATGCAAGGACGATTCAGAAAATATTTGTCTCTGGTTAAGTCAACCTCCAGCCCCTTTTGCCTCCTAGAGTTCAGCAGGTGAGGCTGAAGGTTTCAAGCCTCGAATCATGTGGTTGCTTCCTCTGGCAATCAGCCCTCCTCCTGAAGAAATCTAGGAGCATGTAGCCACCGAGTCATCTCAGCCACATCCCCAAATCCATTCTTATCATGCTGGAGACCCCAAAGATCTTAGATCCTCTTGTGTTGAGGCTCTTGAGACCAAGACCAAATATGAAAACTAAAGATGCTCCTATCACCTCTATCACCGAGGTCTTTATAAGCTTTAGAAGCTCACTGCCAGGAACCAGGGACAGAGACCAAATATGTATTTCTTTTCTTTTTTTCAGACAAAATCTCCCTGTGTCATCCAGGCTGGAGTGCAGTGATGTGATCGTAGCTCACTATAGCTTTGAACTCCTGAGCTCAAGCAATCTTCCCACCTCAGCCTCCCAAGTAGCTGGTACTACACATGGATGTCACCCATGCCCAGCTCGTTTTTGTAGAGACGAGATTTAGTTAAGTCACCCAGGCTGATCTCATCTTCCTGGGCTAAAGCAATCATCTCACCTCAGCCTCTGAAGTAGCTGGGACTACAGGCACTCACTGCCATGTCCGGCTAATTTTTTTTTTATACTTTCTTAGAGGTGGGGTCTCACTATGTTGTCCAGGCTAGTTTCAAACTCTGGGCCTCAAGTGTTCCTCCTACCTTGACCTCCCAAAGAATTGGGCTTATGGATGAAAGCCACCATGCACAGCAATCTCAAAGGTCCTTATAAAAGAAAGAGGGTAAAAGAATCAGAATTGGAGCAGAAGATGGGGTGATGGAAGCAGAGGTCAGAGAGGGAGATTTGAAGATGCTTCACTTCTGTCTTTGAAGATGGAGTCAGGGGCCATGATCCAAAAAAGCAGGGAGAAGGGGGGGTGGCTTTCAGAAGCCAGAAAAGCCAAGGGAACACTTCAGAGCCTCCAGAAGGAATGCAGCCCTGCTGACACCTTCACTTTAGCCTTAATAGACCTCGTTTGGGCTTCTGACCCCCAGAAATGTAAGATGGTATATTTGTGGTGTTTTAAGTGGCTAAATGTAGGGGAGTTTGTTGTAGCAGCAAAAAGAAATAAACATGAAGCCAGGCATGGTGGCCAATGTCAGTAATCTCAGCACTTTAGGAATTCAGGCAGGAGGAACACTTGAGGCCAGGAGTTCAAGACAAGCCTGGACAACATAGGAGACCCTGTCTCTACAAAAAATTAAATTAGCCAGGCACAGTGCCTCACTCCTGTAATCCCAGCACTTTGGGATGTTGAGGAGGGTAGATCACCTGAGGTCAGGAGTTTTTAGATCAGCCTGACCAACATGGCAAAACCCCACCTCTACTAAAAATACAAAAATTAGCCAGGCATGGTGGCATTTACCTGTAATCCCAGCTACTTGGGAGGACAAGGCAGGAGAATCACTTAAACCCACGAGGTGGAGGTTGCAGTGACCTGGGATTGCACCATTGCACTCCAGGCTAAGCAAGAAGAGTGAAACTCCATTTTGAAATAAAACTAAATTAAATTAAAAATAAAAAATAAGCCAGGCATGATGGCATGCACCTATAGTTTCAGCTACTAGGAAGGCTGATGTGGGAGGATTGCTTGAGCCTGGGAATTTGAGGTTGCAGTGAGCTGTGATTGCACCACTCCACTCCAGCCTTGGTGACAGAGTGAGATCTTCTCTCCAAAACAAAAGAAAAAAAAAAAGAGAAAGAAAGAAGTGAATGTGGTAGTAATGGGCACAGATGGTAGTGTTAAATAGAATGGGGTGGCCTCCTAAGTGAAAACAGCAAAGACTTGAAGGAGGGGAAGGAGCTGGCCAAGGTGCTGAGGGACGAGCATTGTAGGCAGAAACCACAGAATAGTGTCAGGTGTGTCTGAGGCTCTGAAGGGAGGCCAGTGGAGCAGGACAGAGGGAGAGACTGTGGAGAGGCCAGGGAGTTGCTGGGCAGGGATCAGTAGAGATCCTGTAAGCCCTGGGAGGTTACTGCTGGGGAAGGGGCGTTGACTTTTACTCAGAGATGGGATCTGCAGGAGGGTTCTGAGCAGAGAGGCAATATGATCTGTCCCTCAATTGAAAAGCACTCTCTGGCTGCTGAGTTGAGAAAGACTGTGGGAAGATTTGGGTAGAAGGATGGGGGCCAAGCTGTGACAACAGGTGGGAGATGATAGTGGTCCTGATGACAGTGGTCCTGACCAGGGTAACGGCGGTGGTGAGAGATGGTCGGAGGAGAGAAGTAGAGGAGGAGGCCAGGGAGCTGCCGGGTGGGGATCTTCAGTACACGGTGAACACAGTCAATAGGATTTCCTGACAGACTGGATGTGGGGTGTGAGAGAAGCAGGGGTCAAAGCTAGGTTTCAGTTTTATTGAATTATTAAGTAATTTTTTAAAACACTACTGCCTTTCCCAATCTTACCAAGAATGGGATGCTAGATTAAAGAAATCTCTTTAGGCGCAGTGCAGTGGCTTATGCCTGTAGTCCCAGCTGTTTGGAAAGCAGAGATGGGAGTACCGTTTAAAAGCAGGAGTTTGAGAACAGCCTGGGCAACATAAGAATATATTTCCCCTCTACAAAATATTTTTCAAAATTAAAGAAAATAAAATAAATAAGCTAGGCATGGTGATGTGTATTTGTAGTCCCAGCTACTCAGGAGGTTGAGGTGAGCAGATGTCTTGAGGTCAGGAGTTTGAAGCCAAAATGGGCAACATAGCAAGACTCCTCACTCTACAAAAAATTTTTAAAAAAATAGCCAGGTATGGTGGCACTCAACTATAGGACCAGCACTGGGGAGCTGAGGCAGGAAGATGGCTTGATCCCACAAGGTTGAGGCTGCAGTGAGCTATAAGTGCACAACTGCACTCCAGCCTGGGTGACAGCAGGACCTTGTCTCACAATACAAATAGAAATACAAGAAAAATAATGAAATCTCAAGTCAGAGCCTTTTGGCTCTGCAGCCCTTGCAACCCCGGAGTGGTGCAGTGGGGTTTTTGTCACTGGGAATGAGGAGACCCCTGCCCAGTGTTGTTCCCTGACTAATCAGTGTTTCAAAAAATATATCAATTGGGCTGGGTGAGGTAGCTTATGCCTGCAATCCCAACACTTTGGGAGAAAAAGGTGGGTGGATTACCTGAGGTCAGGGGTTCGAGAGCAGCTTTGCCAACAGGGCAAAATTCCATCTTTATTAAAAATATACAAAAACTAGCTGGGCATGGTGGTGGGTGCCTGTAATCCAAGCTACTTCAGAGTCTGAGGCAGGAGAATCATTTGAACCCGGGGGGCAGAGTTTGCACTGAGCTGAGATTGCATTGCCTCACTCTAGCCTCTGTGAAAGAGTGAGACTCTGTCTTAAAAAAAAGTATTACTTGTATCAACATGTAATGGATTTATTATTATTATTATTTAAGATGGGGATTCACTCTTGTTTCCCAGGCTGGAGTGCAGTGGCAAGATCTCGGCTCACTGTTACCTGGGCCTCCCAGGTTTAAGCAATTCTCCTGCCTCAGCCTCCTGAGTAGCTGGGATTACAGGTGCCTGCCACCACACCTGGCTAATTTTATAATTTTAGTAGAGACAAAATTTCACCATGTTGGAGGGCTAGTCTCTTATCTCCTGACCTCAGGTGATCCACCAACCTCAGCCTCCCAAAGTGCTGGGATTATAGGCATGAGCCACCTCACCCAGCCAATTTTGTTGTTAATATGTAATGTATAATAAATATTTTTAAATTTTTGTTTTGTATTAGTTATATCAACATGTAATGGTTTTATTAATATGTAATGAATAAAAATATTTTTAATTTTTTTCTTATTTTTTAACGTTAATATAATTATTTATATAAAGAGAAAGTCTTAGAGATCTTATATAAAGTAAAAAAATGTAAAGGGATGCTAGACCCCAGAAGATTTAGAACTTCCCATTTAGAAATATTCAGAGTAAGCCACACGCAACTTGTTACTTGATCTATTTTCTTTCTTTTTTGTTTTAGGAGACGGGGTCTCGCTCTGTCACCTTGGCTGGAGTAGAGTGGTGCAATCACAGCTCACTGCAGGCTTGAAATCCTGGGCTGAGGATTCTCCTGCCTCGGCCTCCGGAGTAGCTGGGACTGTAGGTATAAATGATGACACCTGGTTAATTTAAAAAATTTTTATAGACATGGGTTCTCACTTTTTTGGTCGGGCTGGTGTCAAACTCCTGGCCTCAAGTGACCCTTCTACCCCCACCTCCCATCCTAGAGGTATGATCCACCACAATGAACACTTGTTCAATTTTCTAAAAAAAAACAAACATTTCTAAAGTTAGGCTGTGGGATGATGGCAGGAAGATAAAGGTGAAAAACAAAAGAATAAATTCTAATGATTTATTCCCACATATTCTTTTGACAGCAAGAAGAACTTTTAGTAGATATGTTTTTACAGACAAAAGGCAGATAAACAGTGTTGTACAGGAACTCCAATACACACTGCAATATCCCCACTTTTCTGACATCGCTCAGGGAGATTCTTCTTAACTATCGCTCTCGGTATTTTGCTCCTCTGATCATTTCTATCAACTCACTCGTCGTTAACTCGTCTCCAAGTAGGTCACATCGTGACACACTGCTGCACAAACACGGCCAGGGTCACCCTATTGTACACGTAAATGCCTCCTTAATTTCTTTTTTTATGCTCGGTCTCTGTGTTTTGCATTTTTCTTACCTTTATTGTCAGAAACTCCAGAAAGTCAGTTGTACTGATTTATCACCGTCTGCTTCATTAATGTGTACGTTGCTTCTGTGGAATTTTCCCCATCAGCCCTCATTGCAATTTCTAACCTGTTGGTTATTATTTTCTCTTCTGAGACAGGGTCTTGCTCTATTGTCCATGCCACAGTGCAGTGGTGCTATCACAGCTGAATGCAGCCATGACCTCCCAGGTTCAAGCGATCCTCCCACCTCAGCTTCCCAAATGGCTGAGACTATAGGTGTTTGCCATTATGCCCAACCAGTATTTCGACTTCTCCTATACGTGGGCTCCAGAGGGCTGACTGTGAAATGTGAGTATGCATGAAGTTTGGTATGTGCAGAGATGGGGAGCTGGAAGTAATCCTGTCTTTACACTGAGGGGTGACTGTAGATGTTTTTACAATTATGCTGGAGGACACGTATTGTTCCATAGCCTTGAAAATGATAGTGTTAGTGCCAAATATGTTTTAATTGAGTCGAATAATAATTAAAAAATAAGCAGCTGGCCAAATGTGGTGGCTGACACCGGTAATCACAACACTTTGGGAGGCTGAGGCAGGAGGATGGCCTGAGGCCAAGAGTCTGAGACAGGCCTCATTGACAAAGGGAGTCACTACCCCAATGGAAAAATACATGAATTAGCCTAGCATAGTGGCATGTGTCTGTAGTCCCAGCTGCTTGAGTCCAGGGAGGCTGAGACTGCAGTGAGTCATAATCAGGCCTCTGCACTCCAGCCTGGGTGACAGAGTGAGACCCTGTCTCAAAACAACAAAAAACCAGCAGCTAACACTAACTGCTCTTTTACCAGGGGCCTAAAAATACCCTAGTTCAATTTCTTATAACTGTTTATTTCACTTAACCTGTCTTAAATTACTCCCAGATTTTCAGTGTTTGTGCAGATGACTTTTGGTTTAGGTTGAATTGTCTCCCAAGGTATTTCCAGAAGTGGGAGTACTGTGAGTCACGGTGAATGGACATTCTCATTTCCCTTGATGTAAATTGACAAGGTTTTGGGTGCCTCCCAGCTATAATCCCGGCACTAAGCCTAAGGAGGGAGGGAGGCTAAGGCAGGAGGATTGCTTGAGGCCAGCAGTATGGTGAGACACTGTCTCTATTACTTAAAACAATTACTGAGCTTTACCTTGGAAGGATTATGTACAATTTAAACATCCCCCACAGTATAAGAAAGTGCCCACTTCACCGTACCTTTCCCAGCACATGGTATTATACTTTAATAAGTTACTTTATTATTTTAAATAGATAAAAACCTCATTTGCTTTATTTATTTGTCACATTTCAACACCTTTCCTTAGCTTAGCTTATTAGCTCTATTTCTCTGCCTGTAAATGGTTGTCCTTGTTATTTTGTTCTGAGACAGGGTCTTGCTCTGTCACCCAGGCTTGACTGTAGTGGCATAATCATGACTCACTGCAGCCCTGACCTCCCAGGCTCAAACTACCCTCCCTCTCCAGCTTTCTGAGTAGCTGGGACTACAAGTGTGCAACTCCACACCCGGCCAAGTTTTTTCTTTTTGTGGATAGAGACAGGGTCTCGCTCTGCTGCCCAGGCCGGTCTCTAGCTCCTGGCCTCAGCAGTCCTCCTGTATTGTCCTGTTAGGTTGCTGGAATTTCAGGCATGAGCCACCATGCCTGGCATTGACCAGTCCTATATTCTCTAGAGCTCTTTACTTTGTGCTAGCCAATCTCTCATTATGCTGCTCCCCGTTATAATGAATAATTCTCATATTAAATTTTACCACTTTAAACTTTTGAGTGGTTTATGCCTCCTGATTGCACTCTATTAAAGAGCTGATTCTAGGAAGGGTCCCAGGAGATAGACCCACACAGATGGGATTCGGGCATAGGTTTGGTTTTCCAAGGGGCAGTGCCAAGCTCCTTGCCAATGGGAAATGGGACACTGCTGATTTCGAGGAGGGACCTTATGACTCAAGCTACCACTTACTGTCGATTGTGATGAAATGCCAGCTGAGGCCCATGCTTTGGGAGCTAAGTGGTTGTTGCAGTTGACCACTGTAATGACTGGGGTGGAAAGGGTCCTTTTGGATGTACTTGAGCAGAGGTCCCCAAACCCGGAGCCATGGAGCTGTAAGGAGCCACACAGCAGGAGGTGAGTGATGTCTAGTGAGGGAAGCTTCACATTCCTGCCTGAGCTCTGCCTTCTCTCAGATCAGCAGCAACATTAGATTGTCTTAGGAGCATGAACCCCATTGTGAACCATGCATGCCAGGGATCAAGGTTGCGTGGTCCCTGTGAGAATAATGCCTGATGATCTGTCACTTTCTCCTGTCACACTCAGATGGGACCGTCTAGCTCAGGAAAACAAGCTTAATGGACACTAATTCTAAATTATGGTGAGCTCTGTAATTATTTCATCACATATTACAATGTAATAATGGAAATAAAGTGCCCAATAAACGTAATGTGCTTGAATCTTTTGGCTGCGCTCCTGCCTCCTCGCAGCCTTTCCAGGCCCAGAACTTTTTCCATGTCGGCCTCCACAGCTCATGGCTCACAATGGCCTATTTAGGCCCATACCCTACCTCATGGTAGTCTTTGCAGTTGAGGCTACCGCCTCGCAGCAGTGTCCACAAGCCCAGCTCCTCCCTTACAGTGGCCTTTCTAGTTCCAGCTCCTGACTCTGGGTGGCCTATCCAGGCCCAAAGTGTCCACAAGTCAGCCTCTCAGGTCCCAGATCTTCCTCCCAGCTGTGCCTAGAGGCCCAGCACCTGCCTCACAACAACCTCTTTCATCTCAGCTCCTGCCTAGCTCCTGGTGACATTTTTAGGCCCAAAACTACCTCAAGTCAAGCTCTCCAGGTCTAGGTTCAGCCTCTCAATGACTTGGACAGGCCCAGCTCCTGAGTGACAGTGGCCTCTCCAGGCCTGGCTTTGCCTCATGGAGGTCTTCCCCGAACAACTTTTTAACCTGCCTCCTGGCAGCCTCGACAGGCCCAGGTCCTGCCCATAAACAGGCTCTCCAGGCTGGAGTCTTCCTCAAGTTGGCAACTCCAGGACAAGCACTTGCCTCACACTGGGCTCTTTAGGCTCAGCTTATGCCTCTTGGCAGCCTCCCCAGGCAAAGCTACTGAATGCCGGCAGCCTGTACAGGCCCAGGTCCTCACTCTCATCTGCCTCTACAGGCCTAACCTCTGCCTCACAGCAGACTCTTCACGTCCAGCATCTGCCTCATGATGGCCCCAAGAAGCCAAGCTCCTGCCTTTCAGCAGCCTCTACACACCCAGTTCCTGCCACCCCATGGCCTCTTTAGGCCAAGATCAGGCCTCACAGGTGTCTTTCCGGATGAAGATTTTGCCTCATGGGAACCTTCCCTGGCTAGGTGGCTGTCTGTTCCCTGGAAGCCTGGATAGGCCCAGGTCCTGCCCATACTGGCATCTCTGTGCAAAACTTTGAACTCACAATGGCATCTCCAGCTGCAGCTTTGGTCCTGGACGGCGTCTCCAGGCACAAAACTTCCACCCACTTACTGTCTCCCGGTGGCCTCTGAATGCCCAGCACCTGCCTCCCACTGACCTCTGAAAACCCAGGCTCTTTTCATTGCAGATTTTCCAGGCCCAACTCTGTCTTGGCTGAGGATACAGGAACACTTGCTGCCTCATAACAACTTCTTTTGGCCCAGCTCCTGACAGTTTGCCAAGGGCCAATATATGCCCAAAACGTCCTTAAGTCAACCTTTCCAGACCCAACCTCTCTCTCCCAGTGGCATGTAAAGGCTCAGCTTTAGCATGAAAAAGGCCTCTGCACCACCCACGCTTTACTTCTCGAAGACCTTTAGAGGTGTCTCTGGACCCAGATCGTGCTTCTGCTTTCATGGCCTCTCCAGGCGCAGGTGCTACCTCCCGGCAATCCTCCGGGCCCAGCTCTTCCTCCTGGCTGCATCTACAGACCCAGCTCCTGCCTCACAACGACAACGTTTGGCCCCACTCCTACCCAGCTCCGCAGACCTCAGCCTTCCTCAGGTCGGGCTTTCCAGGCCCGTCCTCTGTGTCATGTCCACCTCTCAAGGTGCAGCTTCTGTTTCACAGCAGCCTCTTTTAGCCGAGCTCCTGCCTCGCCGTGGCCTCTTCAGGCTTATCTTCTGCCTCTTAGTGGACACTCAAGGCCCATCTCCTCTCTCACGGTGGTCTTTTGTGTCCCGCACTTGCCTTTCAGTGGTCTCTTCTGGATCCAGCTCTACAGGTGTTTGATTGTCAACTGCATCCTGAAGCCCAAAGCTTCCCTGGACTCTCATGAGTTCACTTCCCAGCAGCCTTAGCTAAAGGCCTGAGTCTACTTTTACCTTGAGAGGGGATTTCTGCCGGCTTGGTAGTAAACTCTGCTGTATCTTTCTACAGTGCTGTGTGCTGTATTGAATGTCTCATGGTTTTTCTTCTCTCCTGGGGGTTTGCAACGGACTGGGCCTCTGCTTGGGCTGTTTGTCTTTGCCCTGGACATGGTAGCTGCTTGTTTCATGTCTTCTTTGTGTATATTTTTTACAGTTAACTTTGGTTTTTCTTATGGTCTTGCTCTGTCACCCAGGCTTGGGTGTCGTCGTGTGATCATGGTTCCACTGCTGCCTTGGCCTTTTGGCCTCCACTGATTTTCCCAAGTCAGCGTCTTCAGTAGCTGACACTACAGGCAGATGCTGCCATTTCTAACTAATTTCTGATTTGGTTTGAAAGGTTGGTTCTCACTCTGTTGCTTAGGCTGGTCTTTTTTTTTTTTTTTTTTTTGAGACTGAACCTTGCTCAGTTGCCCAGTCTAGAGTGCAGTGGCAGGATCACAGCTCACTGCAGCCTCAGCCTCACGGGTTCAATCGATTCTCCTGCCTCAGCCTCCTGAGTAACTTGGATTACAGGTTTGGCCACCACACCCGGCTAATTTTTGTATTATTAGTAGAGATGAGGATTCACCATGTTGGTCAAGCTGGTCTTGAACTCCCGATCTTGTGATCTGCGCACCTCGGTCTCCCAACGTGCTGGGATTACCGGCATGAGCCACCGCGCCCAGCCTAGACTGTTCTTAAACTTTTGGACCCAAGTAATCCTCTTGCCTGGGCCTCTCAGAGTGCTGAGATTGCAGGCATGAGCCATCATCCATGGCCTGTCCTTTGCTTACCATGAAGTATTGATAATTTACTCTTCCATTGATATACTATGATTACATACGTTGATGAATATATAGATTTTTAAACCTCTGGGATAGCATTTTTTTGTTTTTTTTTGATTGTTTTTTTGAGGCAAGTTACTGCTTCGTCATTCAGGCTGAAGCGCAGTGGTGTGATCTCGGCTCACCACACCTCTACCTTCATGGCTTAAGTCATCCTCCCACCTCAGCCTCCTCAGTAGCTGGGACCGCAGGTACGGGCCGCCATGCCCATCTAATTATATTTGTTGTAGGGATGGGGTCTCACCATGTTTCCCAGGCCTGTTTCAAACTCCTGGGCTCAAGTGATCCTCCCCCATCAACCTCCTGCTGTGCTGGGACTACAAGTGTGAGCCCCTACACCTGGCCTGCCATTCTCTTTTCATGGATCATTAAGAAGTTACCTTTTAATTAGTACACTATGAATACATATGTAGATATGTGTGTAGGTATTTATATGTGAATATATGTCTGTATACATTTATATGTGAATATGTGTATATGTATATGTGAATATATGTGAGTATACATTTATATGTGAATATATGTATTTATATGTGAATATGTGTGTGTATACATTTATAGGTGAATGTTTATGTATTTATATGTGAATACATGTGTATTTATATGTGAATATGTATATACATTTATATGTGAATATATGTGTATGTATTTATATGTAAATATATGTATTTATATGTGAATATGTGTGTATACATTTATATGTGAATATATGTATTTATATGTGAATATGTGTATACATTTATATGTGAATGTGTATATGTATATGTGAATATATGTGAGCATACATTTATATGTGAATATATGTATTTATATGTGAATACATGTATGTATTTATATCTGAATATGTGTGTATACATTTATATGTGAATATATGCATGTATGTATTTATATGTGAATATATGTATGTATTTATGTGAATATGTGTGTATTTATGTGAATATGTGTGTATACATTTATATGTGAATATATGTATGCATTTATGTGAATATATGTGTGTATACATTTATATGTGAATATATGTATTTATATGTGAAGACATGTATACATTTATATGTGAATATATGTGTGTATGTATATGTGAATGTGTATACATTTATATGTGAATATATGTGTGTATGTATATGTGAATGTGTATACATTTATATGTGAATATATGTGTGTATGTATATGTGAATATGTGTATATATTTATATGTGAATATGTGTATACATTTATATGTGAATATATGTATTTATATGTGAATGTGTACACATTTATATGTGAATATAGTATTTATATGTGAATGTGTATACATTTATATGTGAATATATGTTTATGTATATGTGAATATGTGTGTATATATTTATATGTGAATATGTGTATGTATTTATATGTGAATATATGTGTGTATATATTTTCATAGCATACACACACTCCCACATATGCATTGTGAAAGAGATATTTCCTTGCATAGAAATCGATAAGCTTCTTCCAGCTTTTGAAACCACCCTTGGCACAGACACGAAAGAAGTACAAAGAATCGTTATTAATGACCATGGACCAAGAGGACCATGCGTCCGTAGTACTTCGCGGCTCAACCAGCTTCCAGCAGAGCATCTCAAAGGGCTGAATATACCTGAACATCACACCCTTTCACATAGATTAAGAAGGTTTGTAATTCTTACTTCTCGAGACCTCAGTGTGACCCCCATCAGTGTAAAATTAGAAACTATTTCCCAAATCAGAGATGTTGAAGAACAGCTTTGGTCAGGAAATAGTTATGGCATTTTGTTAGTCATGACAAGCTCCTGGCCTAGGCAGATAGAATATTGCAGAAGAGAGAGAGAGTGAGTGAGTGTGTGTGTGTATGTGTGTGTGTGTATACATTCTTGCACACAGATGTGGAGGTAGAAGTAGGGGGTTGAATTGGATAAAACCAGAAGGGGGCAGGCTGCTGGAAGGGGCACTTGTTTTGGTAGCAGCTGTGGAACTCTAGAATTAAGAAATAATTATAATTCTCAGTTTTTTCTCCTGGAAAATAAAGATTATAATTACTGCCTTGATATGTCAATTAGGTGATCCACTATATGCAAAATATCTAGTATATAATAGGAGCTGAATAAATCCTACTTTCTGTAGCTCATTCTTAATCACTGTTTAATTTTTAAAGGTTTAGAATAAGAATGGCTTTTGTACAAATTATTTGTAATTATTATATAAAATCTAAGTCCTATAGAAAAGTAGAGAGAGAGAGAGAGAGGTAATAAATCAAAAAATTTTCAGTTGCCAAGAAATAACTCAACATTACATGATATGGCCCAGCATGACATCTCATGCCTGCGATCCCAGCACTTTGGGAGGCTGAAGTGGGCAGATCACTTAAAGTCAGGAGTTCGAGACCAGCCTGGCCAACATGGTGAAACTCCGTCTCTACTAGAAATTCTGAAATTTCTTCTGATTGTGCTTTTAAATTAAAAAGAAAAAAATCCAAAATTAGCCAGGCGTTGTGATGGGTACCTATCATCCCAACTACTCGAGAGACTGAGGGACAAGAATCACTTGAGCCTGGAAGGAAGAGGTTGCAGGGAGTTGAGATCGTACCATTCCACTCCAGCCAAGGCAACAGAGTGAGACTCTGTCTCAAAAAAAAAAAAAGTGAGAATTAATTCAAAACTTTTTGTGCAAATAAGTAGTTAGATAAACTGATTTAAAATAACTACATATTTCGTATGTGTTTAGTTTAAATATATAACTTTCATTTGCTTGATACAACAGAAGCTGCAGAAACTAAAGGTGGAGAATTTCTGAACTTCAGATAAATGCCTATGTGCAAGTGATATCTTTTGATTCAACATTCATTAAAATTATGAAAAAGATAAAAGTGTCACGATTATTTTTATCTGCAGTTTCTGTTTTCACCCACAGCTGCTTTATTTTTGAAATTGGTGCAGTGTTAGAGTTTCTGTTTAATCCATGTATACTTGGATGACATCTTTCTAGGGCAAATATTCTTAATTCATTTTCCTTTTCTTTCGTTCTTTCTTTGAGTTCTGACTCTATTGTCATCTGGTTCTGGCTGGGGCTATGGGAAGGCCTGAGACTGGCTGGAGGTTCTTCTCACATGTGTGTTATATTTTCCTGCCAAAAGGCCAGTGCAGTACTTTTTTTTTTTATTCATTGAACTTTAATAGCTTAGCCAGGGTTGGCTCTAGGCCAGTCATTCTGCATTAGTTTTTCCAGGTATATGCTGTGCCCTTTGACTACTGATTATGTACTTCTCTACCTCTGCATTTCTTCCTTCCTTCTTTCTTTTTCACTCTCCTTTCCCTCCCATCCTCCCTTCCTTCTTTCATTCCTTCCTTCCTTCTCTCCCTCCCTTCCTCCTTCCCTCACTCCCTCCATTCTTACATTTCTCCCTTTCTTTCAAGACAGGGCCTTGCTCTGTCACCCAGGTTCTAGAACAAAGTGGTGTCATCATAACTCACTGCAGCCTCAAACTCCTGGCCTCAAAAAATCTTCCTGCCTCAGCCTCCGTCATAGCTGGGACTACAGGCGTGCACCATCACACTTGGCTAATTTTTGTTGCTTTTCTAGAGATGGGGTTTTGCTGTGTTGTCCAGGCTTTTCTCGAACTCCTGGCCTCAAGCTATCCTGCCACCTTAGCCTCCTAAAGCACTGGGCTTATAGGTGTGAGCCCCCGTACCCAGCCCTGCCTTGTTTTTAGGGTCTCTACCTCGGGGTCACCAGTTGACAATGCAGTTAGGCTACTATCTCTAATTTCCATCACTTTTTCAATTGCTTTAATGTAGCTCTTTATGCTCTGATTCACTTTGACTTTTTTTTTTTTTTCTTTTGAGACAGAGAATTACTCTGTCACCCAGGCTAAAGTGCAGTGGTGCAATATCGGCTCACTGCAACATTTGCCTCCCAAGTTCACGTGATTCTCCTACCTCAGCCTCCCTCATAGCTGGGATTACAGGTGTGCACCACCACACCTACCTAATTTTTGCATTTTTAGTAGAGATGGGGTTTTGCCATGTTTGCCAGTCTGGCCTCAAACTCCTGACCTCAGGTGATCTGCTCACCTCATCCACCCAAATTGCTGAGATTACAGGCGTGAGCCACCGCACCCGGCTGCAACATTTTCTTTTTTTCTTTTTTGCCAATCAGTTTGAGCTTATGAGGTTGCTCAGGTTAGCCTTGAAC